GAGGCCGCGTCTGAGCGCTGGCCGCGCCATCGCCCGAGAGAGCTTTGAGCAGGTGTCCTGTTGGCCTGGCCTCGGCCTCCACTCGTGGACGTGCTGGAGATCAGCACCAGTTCCACTAAAAAAGTTTTTGATGATTTGGATTGTATCAAAATTATACATTCCTTTATCCATTACAGAAAAATACACACAGATAATCTACACAGATGAATAGACATGAAATTATCGATTTGACAGGGTTGAATGGCCTTAAAATACCAGCAGTTCTTCTGCGTAGAGAGGGCCAGGCCACTCTTGAGGGACACTCTTCCGTCTTGACAGAGCCCTGCAATGTCCTGCACACGCGCTCTTAGGCTACACTCGGGCACCTCATCGACTCTGTGGCTGCTTTAAATATTACACATTTTGAAATGATATATTCTACTTACATGTGTTATGAAAATGCAAATAACTTTTATATATTGATTTTTTTAGCTTGCCAAACTCTATTTTTATTTTTTAGTGTTTGCTCTGGAAATTCTAACATGCATATTTAATTGCACAAAGTTAAAATTTAATAAGTATTCCCTTCTTTCCAGATTCACGCGCTATTTTTGTCCCAGACATTGGCTCTGGCTTCACTTTCAGCTCCACGTGTTCCTCTCGGCCCCGCCCGGCCCTGGGGCTCCCCTGCGCTCCCCAGCCCCTGCCCGCTGGGTCCGGGCCTGGCTCGGGAACCACGTCCGCCTCCCTCAGAGCCTGGCGCGGGCCGGCCGGGGTCAGCCCCCTCACTGGCTGGCCCAGGGGCCCTCAGCCCTGCCCGGCTGTGACCGGGGGCTCGGCCGGCCGTCGTCACGCAGCGCGCGGAGCCTCAGCAGCTGCCGGCAGGTCTGGTTCTCCAGAAGGCACCTCACCTGCTCGTGCCCCACGCCCCCGAACCTGGACACTTTATGTATTTCACGTGTAGGTGCCGGGCAGGCAGGTCGTGGACGTGGGCGGAGGGATGAACAGCGGCGCCTGACAGGCGGGTGGGTGGATGGACCGACGGCTCTTCACGACCACACGAGGGAGCGTCACGGGGGCCCTGCCGTCCACGCCCTCGAAGCCCACGTCCCGGCCTCCCCCCGCCAGCCCCGGGCGGTGTCGGCCGTGCTGCTGGGCGGGCCTTCCTCGGGGCTGCCCGCCGCTGGCCGCGGCAAACACGCCGCCATGTTGAGGGGGATGATCTTCTAAGTCACAGGTCGAATAAGCCGAGCTAAAACTATGTAGTATAAAATGCGCTTTAACATGAAACGCAGCATTGGAAGACGGGTCTGCATAACACACGGCTTTTCACATGTTCGGTGTCCTGTGGAATCATTGTCCACCCGGTTGTCAGGGGGGCTTTTCAAACCGTTTTCCTCTAGGGCTGAGCAGCGCTGGCTTCTGGGCCCGTCTGGCCACGTCGGCACGAGGGCGGGTGCGGGGGAGGCCGCGTCTGGGCGATGCCCGCGCTCCCCGCCCTGCACACGGGGCTGAGGAAGGCCTCGCTCCTTCTCCTGCGCGTCCTCCAGACCGTCCAGATCACGGCCTCGGGTGGGGGAGGGGGAGGAAGGGAGGCGGGGAGTCGGGGGCCTTTTATCAAACAGCAAACTCCCGCCGCCCAGGGTGGTTTCTTGGTCACAGCCTGCCTCAGTTTACCTCTCTACCTTCCTAGAGAGCTTCATTCCCCATCCCCTGACCCCACAGGTGGCCTCTGCCCCCCACTCTGAGCTGGCCTAGGGGTCCCACTGGGGCCTCTGACCTCGGTGCCAGCAGACAGCTGCCCCCACCTGTGCTGGCTCCAGCTCTGCCTGAGGCTCTGCTGGGGAAGCCCCAGGCCAGGGCCCCCAAAGCCACCACCCCAGCTGCCACGGACCTGGAGGGTGCCCAGCGCCTTGAGGCGCCACTGCTCCCACCCCCCCACCCCCCATCCCCGACTGAACCCCAGCGCCTGGCTCCTGCCCCAGGGCTGCTGCCCTCCAGGTTCTCACCCTGCCTCGAGGGGGCTCTGCGGGGGGCGGGGCCTCTGTGTGGGGGAGATGCTCAGGGGCCTCCTGCTCCACCCCCTTCCCGGCTGCATTCACAGCTCCTGGCCCGGAGGCAAGGCCTTTAATCCTGCTCTCTTCATATTCTCCTATTACACTGTAGGCAGGAAAACAGAGTGAAGTCACTTAAAAACATCAAAATCCTTAAACCAGCTACAAAATCTTACTTCACTGATCTCTCCTACACCCACGATACTTTTCCCTGAAAGGTAGAACGTTAGGGAGGACTCATGGGCAAGGCCAGGTAATTGGCGCTTCCTCCTGGCAGTGTGGCCTCCCCTGGACGGGCTTCCCTGGACAACGTCCCCTGGACGGGCTCCCCTGGACCACGTCCCCTAGACGGGCTCTCTCCTGCGCTGGAGATTCTGCTGGTTCGGCCTGAACGACACACGCAGACTAGGGGCTCTGGGGGGTGACTGGAACTCCCGCTGAGGCTGTACACGAAACCTTTTATAAAGAAAATGGCTCACGGATTTCACAGGGAGACAAAGGGCCGGGTTTGTGGGGAGCAGACTCACACCCTGCCCGGGCTGACCCCCAGGGGGCGCTGCGATCAAGCAGACCTGCCACCAGCTGTGCCCGCACCTGGACCCTGCCCCGGGAGCGGGAGCGCAGCGCAAAGTCCCAGGGAGCACAGCCCGGAAGCCCCAGGGAGCATGGAAGCCGGGAAGCCCCCCGGAGAGCAGGGCCTGCTTCTCCCGCGCGCTGGCCGGGCCCCGTCCCTGCACCGCCTGCGGCCTCTGCGCTTCTGCAGTCTCGTGACACACACGTGACCTCCCTGGCCCACCTCGAGAGTGTCCTGTGCCTTCCCACTGGACAGAGGGTGCCCATAGGAGGGTGCAGGCCGCATTGAACCAGGAGTGGGGACCCTGAGGTGTGTCTGGTGGAAACAAGAGCCAGAGTTGGGGAGAGCCTGCCGCTGGCCCCCTCACGGCAGTGAAGTAATCAGCGGTGGTCACCCCACGGGTCCCTGAATCCAGCCTTCTGCATGGCCCGAGAAGGGGCCGGCACGCGTCACCGGGACACAGCTAGGCCATGGCAGGAAGTGGCCACGGGGCCCGGTGGCCTTGGGGCTCTTCCGGGAACAGCTGCTGTGACTTCCCAGCGCTTGCTCAAGCCAGGCCGGGGGACACCCGTCACAGGGGGACAGAGCTGCCCCTGGGGGGCCTCTCCAGGGACAGAGTGTGGGGTGGGGCCAGACCCGCAATGCCCCCGGAGTCCCCAAGACCATGCCTGACCCAGGACCTGGGGTGGACTTGGCGCAGGGAGCTTTGCTGGGGGGAGTGGCTGGGAGGGGGGCTCCCCTGCCCCAGCCGCTCCCTCCCTCCCCCTTGCACAGAACTCCGGCCTTCAGGAAGGTACTGCTGCGTGAGGGGACCTGAAGGCACTGCTGCGTGGAGAATGATCTCCCTAGCGCTCGAGCAGGACCGTAGGGTCCACACTGCCCAGCCCGGAGTGGCCGGGACCGCAGGGATTAGGCCTTGAGCCAGGAGCAACAGGCGTCTGGCACGCAGAGCTCTGTGCCCGCAGGTGAGGAGACGGGAGCCCGCCCTGTGCCCGCAGGTGAGGAGACCCGGACCCGCCCTGTGCCCGCAGGTGAGGAGACCCGGACCCGCCCTGTGCCCGCAGGTAGGGCCGCAGGTGAGGAGACCCGGAGCCCGCCCGGGCTTCTGGTCAAGGAGGAGGTGAACTTGTAACTGAGAAACGTCTGCGCGGAGGGCGGAGGCCGCGAGTGCCCAGCGCGGGCCGGCGGAGGAAGCCCAGGCGGGCGGCGCGGGCAGAGCTGGTGCCGGGCGCGGCGGCCACGGCGGGCGCAGCTGGGCCCCGGGGGTGCGCGCGGGGCTCGGGCCAGCGCGGGCTCCGCACAGACACGCCGCCCCCGCCCCCCACCCCCCCCCCCGCCCCGGCGCCGGGAGCCCCTCACGACAGCTGCTGCTGGGCGGCCTGGGGGCTTCGCCGCGCGGGCCGGGCCTGGAGGAGCCGCGGGTCTGGGGCGCGCGGGGCCGGGCTGCGGGGCGCCCCTGGCGGCGCGGGCCAGCGTGGGGCGCGGGCCGTGCCCGCAGAGCGGGGCTGGGGAGGGACCCCCGGGCCGGGGCCGCGCGGGGGGCACCGCCGAGGCCGCGCGGCGGGAGGGAGCGCAGCGCCGGGGCTTGCGGGGCCGGCCGCGCCCTCGGCGGGACGTCCGTGCAAGGGCCCGGGGGCCGCCTGCCTGGCGCCGGGGCGAGGGCGGCCGGGGTCGGGGCAGGGCCCGCCGGGGCCGGGACGGGTGCTCCGAGGGCGCGACCTCGCGCGGCGCCGGGTCCGATCCGCACCCCGGGCCCTGCGCTCTGGCCGCGGGGTGAAGCCGGCCCCTGCCGCGTCCCCAGCCCCCGGGCGGGCCGTGCGGGCTCCGCGCCGCCCCCTTGGCCGCAGCTCGGCGGCGCGTGGATTCCCTCCGGCCCCGCGGCGCGCGCCCCCGGCCGTGCGCTCCGTCCGCCAGAGCCCGCGGCCTCCAGCCGCCGCCGCAGCCCGGGCGCGATCCGCGGGACCCCCGCCCGCCCGCCCGCCGCGCCCCCGCCCCGCGCCCCCAGCCCCCCGCCCCGCGCCCCGCCGCACCCCGCACCCCGCACCCCCGCCGGGCCCGCGCGCCCCGCCCGCGCCGCCGCGGGGGCCGAGCCCGGGTCCTCGGGCGGGGGCGGGGCGGGGCGGGGCGGGGCGGGGCGCGCGGGCCCGGCGGGGGTGCGGGGTGCGGCGGGCGGGCGGGCGGCGGGGCGGGCCGGGGCGCCGCGGCGCGGGCGGCGCGCGGAGGGGGCGGCGGGGGGCGGGCGGGCGGGCGGGCGGGAGGAGGGGCTCCCCGCGCGGGGCAGGGGCGGAGCGAGCGGCCGCGCCGCGGAACCCGGCGAGTTCGCTCCCAGCCCGCCCGCCGCCGGCCCGCGCCTCGCGCCCGCCCCCGCCGCCGCCGCCCGCGCGGGGTGCAGGATGCCGGGGGGCGCCGGGCTCCCGCGGCGGCGGCGGCCCGCGCAGCAGCCCCGGCGGCGGCCTCTCGCCTGGCCGGGGAGCGCGGCGCCGCCGCCCGGGCTCTGGCTGCTGCCCGGCTCGGCCGCGCTGCTCGGGCCGGGCGCGGGGGTCGGGGTCGCGCCCCCGCCGGTGCTGCTCGCCGCGGCGCAGCCCCCCAGCGCCGCGCTGCTCCCCGCGCTGCCCGCGCTGCCCGCCTGCTGGCCGGCCCCGGGCGGGCCCCTCCTGCCGCTGCCGCTGCCGCTGCCGCTGCCGCTGCCCGCCGCGCCGGACCTCGCCGCGGCCGCCGCGCCCCCGCACCCCGCGCCCGGCGCGCAGGTAACGCGCCCCCGCCGCCGGCCCCCCCCCGCCCCCCCCCGCCGGCCGGCTCGCGCCCCCCGCCCGGCCCGCGCCCCCCGCCCGGCCCGCGCCCCCCCCCGCCCGGCCCGCGCGCGCCCTGCGGCGCCGCGAAGTTCACGCTCCGGCGTCCCCGCCGCCCCCCGCCCGGCGCCCCCGGACCCCCGCCGGCGCTCCGGACCCTCGCCCGGCGGCCCCAGCTGCCCAGGACCCCCGCCCGGCATCCCCGGCCCCCGACCCAGCGCCCCCCAGCGCCCCCCAGCCCCGAGTCGCCGGCGCCCGCCCGCCGGCCGGCGCTGTCCAGGGCGCGGTGCTGAAGCGGCCGCGGACCTGCCCCTCCGAGCGCAGCACTTTCCCCGCGCCCCGACTTGACGCGCCAGCCGGGACCCGCGGCCCCCCTGGTTCTCAGCCCGTCGCTTCTCCCGTTTGAAAAGACTCAGGACAAGCTCGGGCGAGTCCAAACCAGGGGCGCCGGCGGGGAAGCCCGGCCTCCCCTCCCCCGGCCCCGCGGGGACTCCCCCCCAGCGGGGACTGCCCCCCGCAGGCCCCCCCCCAGCGGGGACTGCCCCCCGCCGTCCCGGCCTCCCGCTTAGCTAATGCCGCGGTGCTCCAGGGCGAGCTTAGCGTTGAAACCTGGACTTAGCACCAAAAAGTGACCCCGCGTGGCTGACCAGGGCGCCGGGAAGGCGCTGCTGAGGGGGCAGCGGCCCCTGTGTGCTCGCAGCGCCGCGTCTGCGTGGGGCCCGCGGGGCTGCTCCCCAGAATCGTCCCCAGCAGCACGTTCACGTCAAGGGCATGTTCGGTCCCACCTTCAGGTCATGCAAGTCCCGCGTAACCCTGGGGGCTTCTCTGGAGGGGGCTGGCCGCCCTGCCGGGGTCTGGGGGCGCGCGGGCCAGTGGTCCGGGGTGTCGTGTTCAGTACTGCCGGGGCTGGGGCCCGGCGGCCGGTGGAGCTGGCGGGTGGAGCTCCGGGCAGCTGCAGCCCGCGGCCGCCAGAGGGGTCAGCGCGAGGCTCCGCAGAGCTCTGCTTCCTCCCGTGCGGGTTTCAAAGGGAAAAATCTGAAAACTTCGGTGGCTCTTTCAGGCGTGTTGTGCTGCGTCTGTCCTGCGAAATGGCGACAGATCGTGTTCACATGACAGGGAAATTAAAAAAGCTTTTGTGATTTTTTTAAACACACGGTGTCAAGCTTCTCCTGTGTGGAGTCGGGTGGGACCGGCTGTCTGACGGGGTGGGGGGTGCGGCGCCCCGTCCCCTCAGGGCGCGGCCTGGGCCTCGGGGGCCCAGTTGGGTCCCCGCTCGGGTCCCCGCTCACGCGCTTCCCGCGCCTTGGCAACATTCTGCTTTGTGAACCTGGAGAAACTTTGAAGCTTACCCCCTTCACTGGCTTTTATTGCAAATGCTAGCTGTGCTTGTTTCAAAATATTAAGTGTAACACAAGAGGGTCCTCCAGAGGCGCGGCGTCAGCACAGCTGTCTCCGGGGGACCCCAGCGCCCCAGCGCAGGGCTCCCCACGCCCGCCTCGCAGGCGGGGCCCTGGACGTCTCACGGCCAGCCCAGCTCGGCCGCCTTCCCTGGGCTCCACGTTCCCCCTCAGCGTTGCCACGCGGCCCTGGGGGCGCTTCGTGATGAGGTCGGCGGTGCTTCGAGTGTGAAAGTGCTCATGATTTTTAAGCAATTACGAAATTAATGAATATGCATGATCTTGTGACTAGAGAGAGGGGCTTTCTCCCACCCTCGAACGCGCACCATTTTAGCACTCCTCCAGGGAACAGCTGCCCATGCCCCTTGCTGCGGGGCGGGCGTGCTGGCGCCGGCTGGTAAGCGCCCCCTTCTCTCTCTTGGGTCCTAGTGGCTGCTGGGCGGCCATTCTCCGCCCATCGGACTGTCCCCCTCTTCTGCAGTGGAGCTGGTGCCCATTTTCCCACACGTCTGCCCGTCGGCTCTTCCTCCTCCCGCGGGGAAGACTTGGCTGGACAAGAGGATGCCCGGCGGCAAGAGCTTCCGCGGAGAGGTGGGTCTTGGCTCGGGCGGCGCGTGTTCCGCCGGGGCTGCGGGTGCCACGGGCGCTTGTTTCTAAGCACAGGGAGGCTGCCAGGGAGGCAGCCGTTCAGAATACGGTGGGTTCCCCCAGTATCCCGGGGGTCACTTTATTTCAGCTCACAGTGGTTAAGTCCCTTAGAGCAGCGACAGCTTCTGATTCTGCATCAGAACTTTCTTTTTAAGATTTTGATTGTTAAATTTCTAGCCGTCCACCAAAACCAAACACGAGTTTCAAAGTCTGTTTGTCTTGCCTTTCTTGCTTTCGGCATTTTGTGGGTCCGCTAGGGTGAGGGGCTGCTTCAGCCGCCATTCTGGCCATGCAGTTCGGCCCTTGCAGCCCAGAGTCCATCTGGCCCAGTCAGTCATCAATGACCTAAGCTTAGCGCATCAAGCCAGCGGCCCTGCGGAGGCGCCTCTCGGGCCGGGCCACCGCATGGGGCAGCGCTGGGTCCCCTGGGGCGCGGAGTAAGGTGGGGAGGCGGGACTGGGCCGCCGGGGAGCGTTCCGGGACATGGAAGCGCGTGCTGGAGGCTGGTCAGCGGACGCCTTGTTGATAAGATGGGGCCGCGCGGGGTGGGGGGCGGGCGCTCGGTTCCGATCTTCGCACACGGGTCATAAAACTAACCCGGGTCCGCAGCCCCGTCTCCCCCAGCCTGAGAACCTCGGCAGACACTCACCTCCCTCCAGCTTCTCTCCTCTGCCCTCCTGCCTGAGCGGCCGACTCAGCAAAGTCGTCCAATGCCTAAGGCCGGGCGTTGCCCCCTCGGCGGCCTCCCGCCGGGACAGCCTGCCCCTCGGCTCCCGCTCTGGGCCCGCGCGGGTTGCCCGTCACAACAGGATTTGTCTTGCTGATGGGTTGTCTTGGCTTTTGAAACCAGACTCGCGGCTGCGCTGCGTTTGCTGCAGGACGTAAAGACACAGCGCAGGACCCTGCTTGCCAGCAGGCTGCGCAACCCGCCGGGCGCCCTTTAGGGGTACACCGGCTGCGGGGCTGGGGGGCGAGCCAGTGGCACAGCCCGGCCCAGGAGCCCGGCACAGCGCGGCTGGACTCAGCGGGTCTGTAACTTCTAGACAGCTGCCCCGTCGCGCCCCCGGCGGCATCTGACCGCGGGGCCAGGTAAAGGCTCGCGCAACCTTGGGTGTTGCCACGTGCCGCGCCTCCAGTGACGCTTGCTTTTACCCCGAGCAGATCTTTCTCAACAATTCCTTTGCCCTGGACTCGACGTGGATCTATCCCGAGGACTCGAGATTGTTCCATGGACACGACAAGCCTCTCCTGCTGGCGAGTCAGGTGGCTGTGGCGCTGTCCCGGCCGGCGCCCGCCTCCAGGCCTCTGCCCGCAGCGCTGGCCCTGCAGCCCGTCCCAGGTTGGTGCCAGCCGCGCCCCCTCGCGTTGGTGTGGGTGTCTCTCCTCACTGGCAGCTTTAGGGGTGAAGACCATGTTGTCATTTTAAGGAGCTGTCATTCCAGCTTCTTTCAGGAAAGGAGACTTTCTTCTCACAGACATGGCTGCTCCGTGTGGAGGAAGTGTTTGGGGGGCTCGCGCCGTGCCTCAGAGTGGGGGTCTGCTTTTCGACGGCAGGGCCGAGGGGCTGAGAGTCCCTGCCTGGAGCTGCGCCTGAGCCCTTGGGGCGCCCGGGGCCAGCAGCAGCGTGGCTGAGGGGAGGCACCTCTCAGGTCGCGAGCCCCAGGCGCGTGTCTGGCTTCTGGAAACTCTGCTTTCACGTCGGGGGTGCTGCTGGGAACGGGCACAAACCACACCGTTCGGAGCTGGATTTTGCTCTATCTTGGGAGGCTTCGTGGCCTGAAGGCGCCCGAGGCGTGGACCTGGGGTGGAGGATTGTGTAACAAACCACGCAGGAGCAGGAGAATAAAACCTGCTTAGGAATTTTTAAATTGACTTTAAAATCACCTTAACATACGATCGCGTGGTGGAAGCAAGCGGTGCCGCCGCCAGCCCCTCGCCGCACCCGCCGCGGCGCCCCCACCCTGGCATCGTCTGCCTCTGATTTCCCACCTACCCCGCGCGGCCGGCGCGCGGCTCCGCGTGCAGTGATGGGGCGGCCTCCGCGCGGGTAGCCAGCGCTGCTCTCCAGTATGTTCGTTGTCTTCTCCGCCTGCCGGCCTGATGTGTCTGGCTTGTCACGCATCTTGTTTAGTCAGAAATCAGGAAGGAAAATTCAGCTGTTGATGGTTCTCAGGCTTTAGCGATTCCTGAATGACGCGTGTCTGGCCTGGCGCCTGGGCGCTGCCGAGGGCCGGGAGGGGCGCCGCAGGCTCGCCCGCCCACCCACATCTCACGCTCCGATGGCCGTGCCTCCTGATTCATTTCATGATGCTAGAAGGTGATTCACCAGCAAAGAGTGGCGAGGATTCCCTGCCTCTAGACGGCTCTTTTGGTGCGTGAAAATACGTGCGTTTCCTAGTGCACTGGCAGTAACTATCACCAAAATAATCACAAATTTAGCATGAAAAATAGTGGAATCAGTTCAACTGTCCACAAAATCTTTGCATGAACGCCCCGCTCAGCTCATTCTCGGCCAGCGCAGAGATGTTTTGTGACAGAACTTCACCCTCTTGCTCGAAAGCCAGTGATCTGGACGCGCGGGAGGGTTACTGACGAGAGGAAGCCGATGGCGTTTCTCTGCACGCCCGGGCATTGTCACACCGTGTGGCGAACAGATTTGTGTCAGTTTTACCTCCCGACTGTGTGTTTTTGATGAATCTACTTGAAAGGACAAAGTAACACAGTTGATTACAGGTAATGTTAATTCTCACCTGCTTTACCATCTGTCGAATCTCTGCTTTTATTCTTCCCCAGCTTTTTTTTGGACCGTGATAAGACAACACCCACAGCCACGAACCCTGACAACACGGTCTCCACGCCATGAGCCACTGCACCGCAATAGCCACATGACGTGGCTTTGGTGCTGTCCTTCTTCTCCCAGAGGTGATTTAATAGCAGGTGCAGTTGCTTCAAGACGCGAGTTTCTCAAATGCTTCGTGAAAATGTTGCTTTTTTGATAAGTTTAAGAATTCTTAGAAGTTACTATTCTAGAAACCATGAGTGAGCGGCCCCTTCGTCCAAAGAACACATGCAGGGCTCCAAGCGTTGCTAACTGCTCACGGCGCGCAGGGCCTCGAGCAAGGAGCAGGGTGGGGAAAATGCCACGCCGTGGAAGGGAGGTCCGTGGTCCCGAGTTGTATCATTAACGAGGAAATAGAACTTTACAAAACCATTTTACACGCAAATTTTCAGATAGATTGTTAAAGGTTATTGAAGATTGCTTTTCAAATTATATGTCCTATAAATTGATAAACTTAAATAGTCTAATTATATTATGTAAGTTACAAGTTTATAAATAATAGCCGATGAAAAATAATAATGTGTAGATATACAATCGCTATTTTCACTTGGTCACTCTCTTGTTATAAATTGTTGTATCAGAACAAGAGGCCTGAGAGCTCGCAGCTCTGAGGCCCTGACGGGAGGGTGTGGTCAGGCCCCAGCCGGGGCAGCCCCTCATACAGGCCGGCAGCCGGCTCCCTGTGCTCAGCCCGGGCGGCCGCCCTGGTGTGACGTTGTCGTGAAGTGACTTTGCGGGCACTGCTGTTTCTGGAATGTGGCAGTTTGTACCAGAGCTCAGACGTGTGAGGCGGAGCTATTCTGCGTGCACGAGCGTGTGGCTTGTTGAGCTGAGCCACGCTGCAGGGGCGGCGGGCGGCTGCTGAGCCGGGCGGAGGTGCCCGGCCTGGGTGTTGGGTGGGTGATGCACCGTGACGTCATGTGTCCCTGATCTTCTCTTGATTGAGAAGACGCTTCAGCAGCGGGTCTCAGGTGACATGAGCACGGCTTGGCTGTGTCTGCGTGACCCACCGATGGCTGAGAGGTGCTGGCGGGACTGGACTTATTGGATAGACCCACTTGCAGGGATGAGGGGGCTGGCCGGCTGTGGACTCTCACCTGAAATAAGCCTGTTTGGGCCCTCTCTGGGATACCTGTTTCATGTTCTCACCCTGGTCCTCACCCGTGGGGCGGGCCCCCCCCCAAGCACCTCCTCTGAAGGTTCTAGGAGGCCCAGGCTGCGGGGACCACACACGTTCAGAGACGGTCGCATGGCTGCTGCCTCCCTGAGTGCTCTCTGCAGTCACTGAGGCGTGTCCCAGGAAGGTCAGCAGGAAAGGTCCAGGGTGGGCATTACTGCCTGCAACCCGAGCAAGACTGGGCAGAAAGCAGCCAGGGCGGCCAGAGGGGACAGGGTTCTGAGGAAAGGAGGAGACTGTTCAAAGACAAGTCACGTGGGAAGTGTTACTCCTCGGCAGGTTACAGGCAGCCGAGTGGAGGGGAGGGCAGGGGTGTGAGGGCTCGTCAGTGGCCCTGGCTCTGGGCCTCGTCACCAGATAGACTCTGTTATCCCACCTGCATCATGAGCGTGTCTTCTGTAAAGAGAGTGGCTGCATTTCCCATCAGTCCCAGCTCAGAGTCCACAGCCCCTTGAGAAGGTGGGGACCCACTGGGGTGCAGAGCAGAGCCCTCTCCCTGCAGAGTGAACCCAGCACTCTCCAGTGCCAGGTGTAGCTCTGCTAGAGGGCAGGTCCCCAAGGTGCACTTCTGGGACTTCTAAGGTGTGTGAATGGGTTGACATGAGGCTCGATTGTTCCTGGACACTGACTCAGACCTGTCAGCAGGGGAGGTGGCTCTGGGAAAGGCCCTTTCACAGGACCGTGTTGACATTTTGCACAACTCAACCTTAGTAGGAAAGCAAGAGCTTCATAGAAAAGCAGTCACAGACAAGATCCGAAGGGGCCAGGCTGAGACCAAAGTCACACAGAAAGAAGAGTTTGAAGAAATGAGGGGAGAAAGCAAGGCGACTTTGAGCACTGGTGACCCCAGTCACTGGAGGGGACTGACTCTGGCGGGAACCAAGAGGGCTCTGCACAGCCCTCCTTCCACACTCACAGCTGGGGCAGCAACGTGAGAGGGAAAAATTGAGAGGGGAGATGCCTAAAATGGGAAGCAAACAAGTCTCTCGCCACTTCTATTCAACACAATCCTGTAAAGAGAGTGGCTTCTATTCAATAGAGAGCCACTTCTATTCAACACAATCCTGGGAGTCCCAGCAAAAGTAATTTGCAGATTGCTTCTAAATAAAGCTGAATTTGTGGATGATATGATCGTCTGTGCAGAAAATCCTAAAGACTCAACCAAAAAAAGTCCATTGGAACTAATCCATGAGTTCAGTAAATTTACAGGATAAAAGTCAGAAATCAGTTGTGTTTCTATACACTAACAAAGAAATATATGAAAAATAACCAAATAAAATGAACACATTCATATTAGCATCAAAAACAATAAAATACCCAGGAATCCATTTAACCAAGAAGTAAAAAAATCTGTACAATGAAAACTATAGAACTTTGATGACAGAAACTGAAGAAGACTAATAAATTGAAAGATAGTTTATGTTCATGGTTTGGAAGAATTAATATTGTTAAAATGTCCACACTACCAAGTCATTAATGGAGCCAGTGCAATCCCTATCAAAATTTCAATGGCATTTTCTCTTGAAATAGAAAAATAACTTCCTAAAATATTTATGGCACTGCAAAGGACCCCAAGTAGTCAAAGGAATCTAGAGAAAGAAGGACAAAGCCAGAGGCACCAGATGTTCCTATTTCAAACTATACTGCAAAGCTATAGTAATCAAAACAGTATGACAGTGACATAAAAATAGACACACGGCTCAACAAACAGAACAGAGAGCCCCCAAACACTCAGGAATGTACAGTGACCTTGTGTTTGACAAAGGAGCCAAGAAAAGCTAATGGAGAAAGGATAATCTCTTCAATAAGCAGTATTGGGAAAACTGCATACATAGCCACAGGGAGAAAAATGAAATTAGATCTCTTATCTTACAAAATTCACAAAAGTGACTCAAAATTAACATGAGACCTGAAACTACAAAACTCCTAGAAGAAAATATAAAGAAAAAACTCCTTGACATTGGTATTAGAAACAATTTTTTGGGGATATGACACCAAAATTTTGCATGAGAAACAAAAGCAAGAATCAAGAAGTGGGGCTCTAGATAACTGAAAACCTTCTGCAAGCGAAAATAAACAATCAAGAAAATGAAAAGGTGACCTACAGAATCAGAAGATATTTGCAGATCATATCTCTGAGAAGAGGTGACTATCCCAAACCTATCACTACCTCATATACTCAGTAACATAACAAAACAAAACAAAATCCCAGTCTCATTTGGGCAGAGAAACCAAACAGACTTTTTCCACAGAAGACATACAAACGACCGGCGGACCCATGAGAAGAGCTCAGTGCTGCTAATCGTTGGGGAAGCTGAAATCCAAACCACAGTGAGGTATCACCTCACGCCTGCTAGAAAGCTGTCATCAAAGAGATGAGAGACAACCAGCTGGGGTGATGTGGAGGAAGGTGAGCTCTTGTTCACCGGGGGTGATGGTGGGGGGCAGGCGGGCAGCTCAGTCACCATGGAAGCAGCATGGAGGCTCCTCAAAGAACTGAAATGAGAACTTTCTATGGCCCGGCAATGCCACTGCTCGGTACAGATTCAGAGGAAATGAAAATGGGGTGTGTGTGTGTGTGTGTGTGTGTGCTGAGAATGTGCACACACAACCTCCTCTCCCACAGGAGCTGGAGTGAACACCCCCCACCCCCAGTCAGATCATCTCCTCATAAAAGGAGGATTCCCACCCTTCGTGGCAGCTGAGCACAGCCGTGAGCTCAGTCGGAGGAACAAGGCCTCCTGCCCGCAGGCACACGGAGTGGGGCAGTGGAGCGGGGCCCAGGGTGTGGGCGTCGGGGCCGGGGGTGTGGGCGGCGGGGCCTGGGGTCACAGGGGCCACACTTGCTGGTGGACACTGACTGGGCCTGGGGTCACGAGCCACATGGGGCCAGGCTCCGAGATCCTGGGCTACGCGGTCAGCGCGGTGGGACGGGGCTCTCCGTGTCCTCTGCAGGGGCAGGAGGAAGAGAGGCCTCGCTCAGCGACTGGAGCTGCAGAACAGCAGGAGGAAGGACATGGCAACGGCGTGAGAGCAGAGGCCCCGCGCGTCAGGAGGGCCAGCGGAACCCGCCCGTGTCGTGGCTGCTGTGCAACGGCCCGAGGGAGCAGGTGGCTCCTGTGCGGCGAGGACGGGCGTCGCGTGGATCTCGACACTGAGCCCTGGACGGGACACGGCACGATAGCACAGCTCGGCTGCCCGCGCCCTGACGCGCAGGGGCCCGAGCAGCCCTGCCCCAGCCCTGGCCCTGCACTGGCCCGGCCACTCAGGGCTCGATGGTCAGCCCTCCAGGCCCGGCGGCTTCACCGCGGTCAGCGAACATTTAAGGAAGAGCCAACCAAGGGCTCGTAAACTTTTCAGAAAAGAAGCGCAGGAGTCACGCTGCCCCAGTTGTTGCCTCAGACCAGCCCCTGTGATCCAGACGCCGCGGCCCCAGGGAAAGCTCACGCAGACCACGGCGCAGAGTCACGCGGCCACGCAGGGCGGCGACGAGGCCACGCAGCCTTTTCTGGGTGTGCGGCGCTGGCCTGACCTGAGGAGCCACGGCGTTTACTTCATCGAAAGAATCAGGAAGAGAAACAAGGCGAAGTTCCCAGCAGCGGAGGTGGCTCTCGCCGCGTCAGCCTGTCCAGGGTGAGGAAGCAGCACCGAGCCAGCTCCTGCAAGGCGGACCCCTCGCCCGAGAGATGTCGCACGAGGTCGGGGCGCGTGGGGGGCCCGAACCTGTGCTCGCTGGGGAGCAAGGCCAGGACGTGCCTTCAGCCCGGGCAGGGCCCCGCAGGGGTCCCGCCTTGGCCGCTGGGGCATGAAAATGAAAGACCAAAGAGCTCCCGGGGGCATGGAAGGAAGGAAGTTGTCGCTACGGGGACAGCACGATTCACGGCTACACAGGCCATCCCAGAGGGTCTGGGCTCGGGTGACCAGTGCCTGAGCGAGGCTGCACAGGCCAAGGTCCGGGGAAAGTTCCGTTCTGTGCTGCGGGCGACGAGCAGTAGCAGCCGCATCACCGCCCTGGCTGCCGGGCCCGACAGACGCACCCAACAGAGCGTGTCCCGGGGACCGCAAGACGGCGGCCTCCTGGGCCCGCGGAGAGGTCCGTGCGGGGGACCGGCCTCAGGGCTGCCGCGCTGGCCCGCTGGGTCTGTGAGCTCCTTGTTGTTCTAAAGAAAACCCCAGTTTCGCAGAAATTGATGCCCCGTTCTGGGATTCGAGAGCTGAAGGCAGGGGGGTGGTTTTGGAAAAGAGGCGCAGGCGAGGTGGACCCCACATCCGACCTGACGCCTCTGAAGGAGCCGCAGGAGCAGCCCGAGGACTCGCTGGAGCTTCGCAGAGGTCGATCGATCGCGCAGGGCCACGCGCCTTCGGAAAACAGACACGCGGGGCCATTGATTTTCTGCAGAGGTGCCAAGAGAGTCCGATAAAGGCAGGTCTTTCCAGGAAACGGCGCTGGAACGCCTGAACGTGCGTCTTGTAAATGAACAACCAACCCGACGGGTACCTCGTGCCGCGTATAAACGTTTTGCCGGAGGCGGATCACCGGCCGGCGGGGGAGCCCGGGCAGGGACTTCTGGAAGAAAACAGACAGGAACATTCTGTGCCGCTGAGTCGTTCTCAGCTGCGCCCGGGCGCCTCGGGCTCGAACTCGTGTGAATTAAAAGTAAATACTTTGATAAACGGAAATTCATCCAAATTGATCTTTGAAAGGTTGATCCTTGGAAGGACTTTCCGTGAGACGAGACGAGAAGTCACTTATGGGGGACGTAGCGCAAAGCTCGCTCACCCCTCAAGACACGGACCCCGCCCGCCAGGGCTCACCCCCGCCCCCCAACAGAGAGACGCCCGCGGGCCGGCGGCAGGCGTGTGGGGCGTGCGGGGCAGTGGGGGCAGGCGCCTGCTCTGCCAGGGCCTGGGCGCCCATGGGGCAGGGAAGGGCACGGCCTGTCCCACCCCAGGCCTCCCTCATCTCGGCAAAGCCGGGAATTCCGGCTGGTGGCCGCGCTGTCTGGGCGCCGCACGGAGAGACGGCTGAGGCCAAGGTTGGCCCCGCCTTGTCGCCACCCTGGAGGCCTCCCGCAGGGCGAGCCGGGAGTCGCGGTGCGCGGCCGGCGGGGGCGGAGGGGACAGTGTGTCCAAAACACACGCAGGCCCTTTCACAACTGCGGCTGTTGTGCAGACAAGTCAGACTTGTCCTGCTCTCAAGGTCGCCGCAGCCTCGGCTGCGTGTCGGGCAGCTGCCTGCTGAGCTTCAGTGGGATGAACACGTTCAAGGCAAGAGGTGGCCCCGGCCCTCTCCACGGCAGTCCCTGGACAGACCCTCCTTCCGGAACAGCCGCGCGCCCGGGGGCCGCGGGTGGACAGGGGCCGTCAGGCCTGCACGAGCTCCTCTCCGGAGCACTCGCGGGTGCTCCCCTCAGGAGACAAGTGTCCGGGGGGCTCTGGCTGGGTGTGTGTTTCCTAAGCGACGACTGTGTGCAGCCCCAGCCGTGTCCTGAGACGCAGCCAGCCCTGTGGGGAGGGGGTGCTGGGGCCAGGCGGCTGTGTGCTGGGCGTTCGGGCGCCTGAGTCCGGGAGGCTCATCCCCAGGGCCCCACCCGGTTCTTCTCAGGATCCGCTGGGGTCCGCCCCCCGAGCTCCTTCCCGTGCTGGCCCCCACATGGGGTGGGGTGTCTGCGGGTGTGGGGGCTGGGCTGCGGCCCCCCAGAGCTGTCGTGTCTGAAGGGCCGTTCTGCCCCGTCTCGCAGCTCCTCTCACCCAGGACGCTCGGGAGACCGAGTGGGGGCAGCGTGCACCCTGGGCAGGGCCGTTTCATCTCCTGTTTCAGCCAGTGAGTCCCCAAGTCATCGTGCACCGAGTTACATGAAATCACTGGGGGTGTCTGTCCGCCCACCACCAAGTGCCCCCGGGCTGCAGTCGGTGCTGCGTGCTCTGCTCTGCCGCCCTGCCTGGGGGGCGCCCCCGAGAGGCCCAGCTGTGAGGCGAGGGCCCACACCCATGGGACCCCTCAGCCGAGGCCCAGAAGCTTCCTCGTGGCTCAGTGGGCCTGGAATGATGCTCGGGGCTGGCCGGGGGGCATGGGGCTGGGAGGGCACAGGCCCATCCTGGCATCCCCAGGGCCCAGGCGGCGCTCAGGGAGGGGTCTGGGGCGGGGCGGGCGTCCTGCACCCTGACACCTGCAGGTGGGACCTGGGCCCTGCCCTTCCCCTGCAGCCTCGTTCTCGTCACTGGCATTTTAAAAAAGATTTATCTATTTATGCACACAAGAGCTGGGTGCAGGCCAGAGGTGGGGTGAGAGGATTCCCAGAGACAGAGTGGGGAGCAGAACAGGCGGATCCACTGAAACCCACTGCTGAGGGCCCAGCGGGGAGACAGGAGAGGTCTGCTGCGCCCTGTGGGTCAGCCCCTGGCCAGGGATGGACTCAGGCCTTGGGGGTGACGGCCTGAGACTCCCCTAGGCCACAGGGAGGCCCAGGATCACCGGGCATTGCAGAATAATCGCCAGCTGGTATGTAGGTGCCTGAGGGTTTCCATCAGAGTGGAAATCACCTGCCAAGTGGACGTCATAAGCTGGTGACTCTGGGTGTGGAGGGCGCAGCTGCGGTGAGCGCATCTGCCCCTCAGCAGAGGCCCCAGCGCCCTCTGCCCCCAAGGCCCGGGGCTCTGCCGCTCCGCCCTCCAGGCGGCGTCCCTATGGCAGGGCTTCCCGCTCTGGGTGATGCCGCCAGAGGCCTATCCAGCCTGGAGTGGCGGCCAGCTGCTGTCCTCCTCGCTGGCCACACAGCCCGCACGGCCCAGGCGCCTCCTCACTGGCTGACCTCAGTGTCCCTCTTCTGCAGGTGCCTGTCCCGGAGGCCTGAAGCCCGTCGGCGGCAGCCCCAGCATCGCCATCGCCGCGGCTGCCATGGTCTCCATGGACCCGCAGGGCCTCGGGGGCCCCAGTCCCCCCAGTGTGCAGCCCTGCCACTTCCTGACCTTTGCCCCCATCAAGATCCCCCTGCACCCCGGCCCTTTCTCAGGTAAGAGCGCGCTGGGTCAGGACCCCGGGGCCCGCGGCTGGGCTGGCGGCGACGGCTCTCCTCCTCTGCCTCGGGGCCTGGAGCCGCTGTCCAGCCAGCTGGCAGGTCGTGTCTGAGGAGCACGGGCCTCTGGGGTGTGCTGCAGTGGCCAGAGCGTGCTGGCCCACGACGTGGGGCTCCCTCCCGGCCCTGAAGAAAGCCCGGGCCGCACGGAGAGGGGCACGCAGGCTGCGGGCAGCACTGAGGCCACCGGCGTCCTCTCCCGGCCAGGCCGGCCGCTGTGGGCACCGGGAGGCACCGGGTAGTCCCCCTTGGGGGTGTCTGGCCACATGCGGGAGCTGGTCTCCTACAGAGGCCTCCAGATGGCGCAGGGCTGGGAGGCGGCCCCCAGGCTGTGGGTCCTGCTTGCGGTGACGCCCTGGTCACACGTGTCCGCAGCGCCCAGGGCTCAGGGCCGTCCTGCGGTCACCCCCAGCAAGGTCAGCTCTGAGTTTTTGTGACAAGCAGCGAGCGGGGCTGTGGATTTGGGGTGTGAGGCTTGGGCAGAAGCTCCGCACAGGCGCTGTCCACGGGGTTACCTGCTGGCTGATCGGTGAGAGGTCAGCAGCGCACCCGTTGGCTGAGGAAAGACAATGACCAGCTCCCTCCTTTCCTGGCCCCCGTTCCTTGCTGTCCAGTCTCCAGGACGAGCTGCTGGCCTTGTCCCTGGTGAGCCCGGCGTGGCCCTGGACGGCTTCACGCCCTGCAGGGGGCATGAGCCCCTGGGCAGCCCCTGCTGGTGCCTGGACCCGGCTCTCACCTCCGCTCGGCACGTCAGTGGCCGCGCCCTGGGGTGATGGGGCAATAGACACAACGCACAACCTGTCGCGCGGAACCTGAGTGCAGCCGTGCCGAGATCCTGCTTAGGCTCCATCCGTCCGTCGGCGTTCATGGGGGTGACTTGCTGTTCCCTCAGAAAATTGTCTGGAAGGCCCCGGCCCGGGGCAGCTTCTCTCCGGCCTCGCGTGATTCCTCAAGCACCATCATGGCCAGGCGCGTCCTCGCTCGCCCGGGTTCAGACCGGCCTCGGACAAGCTGAGCTTAAGTCGCCCGCGGAGGGGTGGCCGTTTTCCTTTGCTCCCTGCCCGGGATGGCGTGACCGGGGCTCCCCAGCTGGGACGTCCTGGCGCCCGGCGGGTCCCTGCTCAGAATTGAGGCCCCGGGGAGGTGCTGTGCTGCCTCCGGGCAGGGCGCTCTGATGTGGAGGGTCACGTCCCCCCTCAGGCCAGGCCGGGACACTGCCCAGGAGGGACCCCACCCCAGTTCCTGACACCGCCCGGCTGTGCCGCCCCCTGGGGTCGCGCTCCTCTGTCCTCAGGGTTGGTGTACGGAGCCCCCAACCCGACTCGGGGGGCTGCGAGGAGCTCTGGGGGTCTTGGCTCTGACCCCGGTTGCGGGGGTCTCTGCAGGTGGAAAGAGGACGCCCCATGTGTGCACAGAAGCAGGTCAGGGCGCAATCTCCCCCAGGCGTGGGGGTCTCCAAGGCCAGCCCCGCCCGCCCCTGCAGCCCCCGCAGCCCCTGCGGACGTAAGCCCTGTGCGGGGCGGGCAGGCCGGGGGCCCTGGCTTGTTCCCGTGATTTGACCACTTGGCAAGTCTGCGGGAAGCTCCCGCCGCAGCGATAAATCAGCGAGGGACGGCGGGGGCGTCCCCGTCCCGCGCGCCTCAGCCGCGCAGACGAGACGGATGTGACCTTCGTCCTGGGCGCGGCTCCTGCCTCCGCCCCTCCTGCCAGCCTGTCGGGCTCCCACACCGCAGCGATTATGGCCGCTCTGCTTTTATGTCCAATGAAGGGCGGCGTCTGCCGGGCAGGGCTGGCGTCACTAAGCCTGCGGGGTGCTGGGCTGGACAGGCCTGAGCTGCAGGGGAAACACGCAGGCAGGCCTGGGGGTGGGGCCGGCCGAGGGGCTGGCGGGGAGAGGGCCACGGCGCCTTTCCTGTGTGGACATGGGGACCAATGCGGCTGGTCGGCGGCCAGTGCTTAGGGGCCCCGGCTCTGCTCCCCACGACCTGGGCCGGGGCTGATGGCCCGCGGGGCTCTGTGGCCGGGCTGGCTGGCTGGGCAGCCGGTCCCTTGGACGTGATGCGGGGGCCGCCTGTCCCCTCCGAGCCCGAGGGGCAGAGGCCGAGCCTCCGTGGTCCAGGTCAGGTTTGCGGTTGGCGTGGTGGGGGGCCATGCCTCCTTAGCTGTGGCAGCAGGGCGGTCCCGGCCACCAGGAGGGGCAGCTGAGGTCCAGCGTGGGTCCACCTGGACCTGGGAGATGAGAGGCAGGGCGGGCTCTTGGGGCTGCAGGGGTGGCCGTGCAAGGAGCACTCCCTCCTGGGCTGTGTCCACGGAAGGCTCCAGGGCAGGCCTCTGAGTGGGCTCTGTCCTCTTCCAGGCCCAGAGGGGACAGAAGGCCCAGCGTTGCAAGGAAGAGGTGGGTGGCCAGGACACCTGGAGGAGGGCGCCTCTCCACCCAGAGCCCGCCTGGCCAGGCGACCCCTCCCCCTGGCCGCAGGGGCCAGCAGGTGCAGGAAGGTCCCTCACCCCGACTCCTGTCTCGTCCGTTTCCACTCTGATGCAGGAGACCTCAGCCTCCCCAGGCTTTACGCAGACAGACGGCGTGTCCTGTCCACCGCTGGCCAGGCCCGCGAAGGGGCCCAGTCGTCCTGGGCGGTCCCACATACAAGCTGCAGTGACCCGGGCATTTACCGTGTGGCTGCTCTACCCGAGTGCCTTGAAATTGGATTGCGGGGCACTTTCCCGTCACGCCAGCTGTTCCGCAGCGGCTGTGCTAATAAGGCCGCTCGCTCCTCGCTGCCGAGCAGACAGCTGGCCGCTGCTGGAGGCGCGTCCAGGGCTGGGCCCTCGTCTGCAGGTTCTGGAGGGAAGCCCAGCCCTTCATGGCCCGCCGTGTTCCAGACAGAATTAGGCGGAATGCAGACACACGGAGCCCCAGATCATGGCCCAAGCGGACACTGGCACAAAGGCCCGGCCCTCCCTCCCCCTGGCCGGGTCCTCTCTCCCCTCCCTCCCCGTGGCCGGGCGGGGGCAGGGCGCCCTCATGGCCAGCTGGTGCTGGGCAGCCACCCTGGCCAGGATGAGGTTGTTGTCGCGTACAGATTCCGGGGCACAGAGCAGCGGCGGGTGAGCCGCCCCAGGCTCCCCGCCCCATCGGGCTCTGGGCCATGTGTGGGGGAGGCAGGGGGGGTGCAGGGAAGGGGCCTGGCCACGAGGCAGGAGGGCGGCCCTCCCAGAGGCCAGGCGCTCCTCCACTGGTGCGCAAGCCCCTGCAGGCCCGGAGCTGAGTGTCCCCGGGGGCCCTAGGGCTCTCCCCGGCCTCCGCGCTGGGCTGCCCGGGGTGGGAGTCCCTGGCGGGCTGCCTGTGTATAGTGGATTCGGCTGCTTCCTCAGGCCGCGGGGCTTTGCTGGAGGGGTCAGCGCAGCCCCCGGCCACCACTGTCCGGCGGCGCCGCCCTGCTGATCTTCAGCGCCGGTCAGAACCGGGCCCGGGGTGCCTGGCGCCCTGAGCCTTGCCCGGTGGGTCATGGTCTCTGCCTCCCGCACGGCTCTGGTGGGCCGCAGTGTGGTGGAGCCACACGCTGGACTGGAGACGAGGAAGGCGTCCCGCCCGGTGTGGGAGTGGGGTGCGCCCCAGGACTGGAAAGACATGGGGTGCCCGTGCTCTACGGGATCAGGACCCCAGAGCACGGCAGGCTGCAGGGGGCGGGCACGGAGGTGGCTGGCGCGGGAGCCACGCTGCAGTGTTGTGCCTGCCCGGGTGCCCGTGGGCCTGCCCTGCCTGGAGGCGGGTTTCAGCGCGCGACCCGGTGTGTGGCCGGTGAGTGCGGGGATCTGACACCACAGCCCCCGACCCGCCCCGGAGTCCCGCCCGGGCTGTGGCGCGGTGAGTCCACCTACACAGCCGTGTCCTAACCGGGGGAGCAGGGTCTTGGGGTCCAGCGCCCGCCAGGGCTTCCCCTGCCCTCCGGCGTCCCTGGCGAGTGCCCGGAGGATGGGCTGTCCTGCTGGCGCCCAGCCCCGCCCCAGCCCTGCTGCGGCTCCGCCCGCCTGCCCGTGTGGGGCCACCTCGGGGCACTTCATCCCGGAGACGAGGTGGCGGCGTTTCTTCAATGAACAAGAGGTGTCCGCGGGGAATTCTTGGAAATTAAATGCATAGAAATGTGCAGTCAGCATTGCCAATGAAATTTGTCTCGAGAAGGAGATTTCCTTGATAAAACTTTATGATGCTCTGGTCAGATTGTCTGTGAACTCCAGGCCTGACCCCCTGGCCTGTGCGCCTCTAAATTGGGCGACCCGGGGAGGGCCACCTTCCTGGACAGTAGACCTCCTGGACAGTCGCCTCAGACACCCGGGTCCTGGCCCTGAGCTCAGCCCCTGGCCAGTGTTGTTCCCTGGCAACCGCGTCGAGGATGGAGTGGGACTCGGGACGGGGGGCAGGGCAGGGAGTGGGGTCAGACCTGTCCAGCTGGCTCCCTGGACGTGCTCTCTCCTCCAGAGAGGCCAGTCACCGTCCAGTGGACTGTGAGTGCTCAGGCCTGGCCCCAGGATGCAGCGATGCAGATGGGAGTTGAGCGCTGCCAGGGCCAGAGCCTAGAGGTTGTCCAGGCCGCAGGCGAAGGGACCCTCACCTCCCCTGGCAGCCACAGCCGGCCCTGGAAACCAGATATGGCAGGGGCCAGGGGCCAGGGGCTGGGGCTGTTGGCACTGGGCATGGCGGGTCCCAACACGGGGCTTGGGCCCGGAGGGCCTGGGCGGGGAACGTCTGGGCCTCACAGTGGAGCTTTACTGTGGAGACTGAGCTCTCAGGACAGCCCTTAACCGCCGGGAGCCTCGGTCTCTCTCCACCGTAAAGCCTGGGTCAGACAGAGACGGAGGCGGAAGGAAACGCTGTGTGCACGGATGCCCGGCCCTGTGCAGGGCGGGGCCCCGGGTGTCAGTGGTTGCAACAGGGATGG